GGAATGGGAATGGGCATGGGGCGGCAGAAAATTGAAATTGATTTCAGACTAATTAGCGAGTGTGGAAAGCGTCGTTGTGCAAAGCGTGTGCAATTCACACTTGTTTCTAGAATAACATGCATAACCAGCTGCTGGATGTGTAGCTGGAGCTGGAGCTGGACCACCATTAGACGTGCAGTTTTCCTCATTCACAAAGTGCCAGCCAGCACGAAGGAAAATGCAAATTGAGGCGCACAGATCGCGCGGCGCAATTAAACGGCGCTCCAAAGCGCGTGCTCCGCCTCTTGGGGCGATTTTATGACTGTATTTTATGCGTTCCATCACCATACTCGAATGTGCATAGTTTGTGTGGCTAATGACTCCGACATCGAGGGGATCTGAACAGAATGAGTGAGGGGCGGATGCAAATGGGCGGACGGACAGAGACGGAGCCACAGCCACAGCCACTCATTAAGTGGTGAGTGATGGTGTTGGTCAACCAGTTCCGAGGACAGTTTGATGGATTGGCCAAGCCAGGCCAGGCCAGCCGCCTATCGCTCATTCAGGCATCCACCATTCACTACATCCACCCCATCCATTCATTCATTCATTCATTTGGGTTGTTCGACTGTTGACGTACGAGAAAACCCGAAACCTGATTACGGTAAAAGGCCAAAACGGATCGTTCTCTTTGGTCAGTGTCTGGGGGCAACGGCAACGGCAACCCCCCACCCACACTCTCTCCTTACCATTCTCTCTCGGATGAAAGGCAGTGGCTGATGAGCCTTAGCCCGCTGCTGACCGAATTATTCTTCTCGGATAGCTGTGAGAGCTGTGAGAGACGGCAAACAAAACCAGTTTCCCCATCTCTATCCGTTCATGGCCCAAACCGATGCTGCCCGGCTGCTGGCGCACCAGAATCCAAAAAAGGCCAGGAGAAATTGCCACAGTCAAAACAATTAGACGGCGACAGCCTCCCGGCTCGACTTTGGCTGCGGCTTCACTTGTTGCCGCCACTACACACCACACCGCCGACTTGGCGGACAGAAGTTTCCGTCTTGCGCTGGGAAAAGTAAAAAGTGTCTAATTAAATGCTTGGCCGGCTACGTACCCCAGGGAAGAGCGACAAGCGAAACGAAACGAAAGGAGAGGCACCTGAAGGATGGAAAGTAAACCGAAGTTAAGATGCTCTTAGGGAGTGCAAATATATGTCAATGGAGGTTTAAGGAGAGTAACCCATAAGTCACTCCCATTGATATTTATTCAGCACTATAGTTGCTCCGATGGAAATGCACCTTTGGAATCATTATGCAAGACAAAGCTTCCCAGTGATTTATCCGGTGTAGCCTCAACCCAATGAAAGGGTAGATGCCAAGCAAACAATTAACATAAATTGCGTACTCGCTGCGGCTCATTGAGTGGGGTCAGAGTTGCCGTTGCCGTTGCCGGCTGCCACGTCAATCATTCGCACAACTGAACTCTGACATCTGGCTCTGGCTCTGTGAGCTGAAAGGGTTTACCAGTTCTCTGTTCCCTGTTCCCAGCAGTGCCTTGTTGCAATGCAACGGAAACTCTGTTTCCCAGCCAAATGCACCTGTCGCAATGACAAACAGTTTGGCCCAGCGGCCCAGCGGTAGGTGCGATAAGCATCTCTTCTTAACAAAAGATTAACACGCCGGAACTGAGGAGGGGACAACGTATGGACAGACAGGCCTCCGATTAGAGATGTACAGGCCCACACACACTACTCTCAGGCTGATGCACAGAAGCCGCTCTCAAAGAGGGAGAGAGAGACCTTGAATGGCAGGCCGCCAGGTAGGCCGTGTGCTTAGGTAGTACATACATATGTACATATGTATGTATTTGTTTGCCGCAAGGAAGCAACACCTTTTGGGTTGACATATCGAATTACGTTACCGAAGGCACCCTAGGAAGCAGCCAAGTGTCAGAGTTGATCCTAAGTGGGTCACATTACCCTACCACTGCAGTGCACACTGCGAATAACTTTCGCTTAAAATTCAAGTGGTGAAACAAAGAAAGAAAAAGATTCAGCAATATATAAATAGTTAATGCTTGAGGGGAGGAATCGTTTAGAACAGCTCATAAAAGCTGATTTAAAGTTATGATCAATAAAAAAAATTTTTAAATACACTCGGCTCGGAGAACAATGAATTGGTGAGGGTTAGTGGTTGGTAGTGTTCAGAAAGTGTAAAATTGCTGAGGCCATCGACAAATTTAACGATCCAAGCAATTCTTTATGGTAGGTATCTGTATATCGGTAATATGAAGCTTGTCTTACCTTTTGCTGTTCAAGGAATTTACACATAAAACACACACGAAACACGAAAGAAACACTTAAAGGCGCGGATCACGAATGAGTTTAAATTGTAAGCTGTCTACGCCTTTTCAACACTTCACTTCTATTTATAGTTGCTGAAACTGTTCAAATTAAATGATAAACTTGGTAATTGACAATAAAAACGCGATCGATTAACAGCTGCTGCCGCTGCCGCTGCTGCTGCTGCTGCTGCCGCTGCCGGCGCGTGTGACTAATGCAAACAGAAAACCGAAGACCGAAATGTGATAAATCGCCCAATCAAACGGGGAGATTCAATAAAAACGAGAAGGGGAAAGAGTCGCTGATAAGGCATGGGAAGGGGGGCCGCCTCCAAAGGGAACACCAACGCAAGGGCACAACTCAATTTGGAGAGACAGAAACGAGACCAAAGCGATCCCACAATGTCGAGGCCCACGGATATGCTTCCTCCGCGCTCTCAGATATTGGTCAATAGCAGCAGCCAGCAGCTGTCAATGCACTTTTCGGTGGTACGAGTATATTATTTATGGATGCCGCTCAACGTGGGCCGTGCACTCACAAAATCACAATTTGTTTTGTTAAACAGCCACCGCTTTGAAATTCAATATTGTCTTGGCGTTTTTTGGCGCACTTCGGGGCACATGGAGACGATGACGCGCGAGCAGATTAAACCGTCGAATTGAATTTAAAATTTTTTTTTTTTTTTGTTTAAATGTAACAATATGATGTTTTTGGCGGATATATCAACGGACTTTTTCCGAAGAATTCGGCACCTATTTTACTGTTGTTCCCCTTTGCGCGCCCGAGATACATTTGTGATTAGAAGTGTCAAACCATCGAGGGCACTATCGATAGTATCGATATTTTACTGCTAGTCTCTACTATCGACGGTTTTGCGACTATCATGATAGTATCGAGCTTCAGTCGTTGCGCTTTTGATATGTTTGGATCGGTTGCTATAAAATACGAAGACACATTTGTGAGATACACTCTGAAGGCGGCATATATTGTTTTCGAATCTGAAATTCTGGCAGCACTGTCCTGACATGTTTTTGAGAGAGAAGAGCTCATTTTTTCGCTGCTTTTGTGAGCATATTTCCCTCTCTTTCGTTAGTGGTTCCAAAAAACAAAAAAGTAGTTCAAAAGAACTTTCATGGTTCGCCGAGTTCGAAAATTCGAAATTGATGCGAAGCAAAAAGGCGCCTAAATTTAAATTATTTCGTAATGTTTTTAAATAAAAAAATGTTTGACCTGATAAACGAATGATCCCCAAAACCCTGCCCTTTGGTAATTTAAAAAAACAGTTGCACTTTCAGTTCCAGTTTCTGTATATTTATTGGAAAATTTAATTAGATTTCAAAAATAGTTTAAGACTATGGGCTTTTGGGTGATGCAGAGAACTCGGAATAAGAGTGTTCTCAGGTCTATTTGTGAATATTAATACATTTTTTTTGGCTAGATAGAAGGTTCATGCAAATGATGTAAGGTTATAGAGGCTATATTTTTTGGGGTATTTTGGGGTTTGGTTTTCGATTCGCTAGTCAAAATATGGAGAACTAAAACCCTTTGGCTTGCGACCAAAGTTATCAGCCATGTGTGGGAGGCAACGGCACCAATGAACACGGAGGATATTGGTAAAATTATTTGATGTACAATTAAAAAATATATAAACTCAAAATAAAAATGTAAAAAATAGATCTTGCAATCGAACATACCACTGAAAGACGAGAGAGAGAGACCAGAGAGCAGGCTGAGATCAAACCAGACCAAGGACCACACGGCCGGCCACTTTCCAGCAACGTTCAAGTGTGGCACAGCAACTCCTGATTGACATGGATAGCGATATCGACATGGAGGGCAGGGCGCAAAGGCCACGAAATGAGTGTGTCTGTGCGTGTGTTCGAGTTGGAATGTGTCTCTGTGATCTCTTTAATCCCAAAATCCGACAAAGGGCGACAACAACTCGGGGGGGCAGGGACTTGTCCAGTTCCGGGCGAAACTCGAAACAAATCCTAATCGCAATTGTGAGACGTGTGCTGAAGCAGGCGTCACTGCTGAATCCGAAATTCCTTGACACGAGTCCTGTCCAAGTGCTTCCTCCTCCACCTCCACTCCACACATCCATTGCCCTCAACACAAGACCTTTAATTATCCAATTATCGAAAAGACAGACACAATGTGGGGGCATCCGCACTCCGCATGCTGCGTCCCGAATTGCCAGAGCAATTTGTGAAACAATTGGAAAGTGTCTCTGCGTCTCCTCCATTTATCAGGTTATTAGGTTACGGAGCGAGTTAGCCGTGGGGAACTGCATCCCACGTTGTCCTAGCGAAGGTCATAGAACAATCCTAATATCCAAATCCTGATAATCCAAATCGAATCCTGATACCATCTCATAGATACACTCATTTAGAGAGAACAGAGAGAGAGAGAGAGATCTATGTCCCATTGTCCTGCCTCCACTAATTTCAATCCAAATTTATCCACAATCCACTCCAAAATCCAAAATCAACATCAAAATATCCTTCCTTCCTCCTCCTTCTCCATTAATCCTCATCCTCCTCCACATTATACTCCAAACATAAACGCGTAAAATGGGGAAGAGAAGAAAATAAAAATTAAATATTAATAATTTGTTGATCAAATGTTCGCGACATTGCGTTTTGTGTTCTGGTTTTTCCTTGTTTTGGTTTCATTTTCGTTATCTCATTACAGGCATATTTATTCGGAATCGATGTTTTTTTGTTTTGTTTTTTTTTTTTGTTTGTTGCTTTTGTTCTTGTTAGGGTAAATTCTAATAAATTATGCTTGGTTTTTGCAGCCAAATAATAAAATGTTGGCCAATAGAAGCCGCCAGTTTAAGACAATTAAAATCGATAAAACAAGGAATGCTTAACAAGGGAGGCTCGCCAAAAAAATAGTTCCTTGAGTTACAATTTGAGTTTTGCGAAAAGTTTTGGTCAAATCATTCGGTTCGGTGTTAGGTGTAGTTTTAAAAGAGTTTCTCTGCCTCAAATCGTGTGGCACTGTGGGAAAAGCAAGTGTTTTGCGGTGTGTTGTATTTCTGATGATCCGAATTTCGCTTGACTGATGTGTGCTTTCGGTTTGACTGAGTCAATTGATTGAATAATGGAACACGGTGGCTTGATAGTCAATTTACAATGTGAATCGATTGCTTGGTTGGTTAAAGATTGAAAGGAAGTACTTAGTTTATCTTGCTTTTCCGGCTCGTAAGAATTATTATAGCTTAATGGATGATGATTGGTAGTGTTTAATAGTTAGAGCGTGAGCGAGACCTGGAATAGGATTGACGGCGCACCGGCGAGTATGTCGGAGTGCCGCGACGACGCGGTCTCGATGAGAATGAGCGCGAACGAGACCTGTCAACAGAGAATACATAATAGCGATTAGCTCGAGGGAACATCCAGGGCACACACTTCTGCACGCAATTACCTGTCACTTCTGTCACGGCCACCACCACCTCCTCCACCGCCGCCGCCACCACCACCAGCACCGCCGCCTCCTCCACTGCCGCCACTGCGGTCGTTTTCGCCGCTATCCTCGCGCACCCGAATGTAGGCCACCTCGCCCTGGGGAAACAATTGATTGTTCATCTTCTTCCTCAACTTGCCTCCTCGATTCCACTTACCTCATGTGAACGGAAACGCGAGTCGTCCAACTTCTTTATGGCATACTTCATGTCCTCGTGACGCAGGAACTCAACCACGCCAGAGCCGTCTTTGTAGGTGTCGGCAAAGCAGACGTCGCCAGCCTCGCGCATGTGATCCTTCAGATCCTGCCAGGAGCCAGAGGGCGGTAGCCCGGTTACCATTACACGGTACTGAGACCGCTTGGCCGGGGGACCACGTCCGCCCATGCGACCACCATCACGCCCATTGTTGCGGTCGTTGCGATTGCCACGGTAGCTCCCAGGGCCACCGCCCCGCGGAAACTCCACGCGCAGGCGATAGCCATCGTAGTCATAGCCGTCGCGGGCCTTTACTGCATCGTCAGCATCGCTGTTTTTTTTTTTGGCGCCAAATAGGGTGCAGAATTTTATTTGGGGGCTAGCTCTTGGTTTTGTGTGTATTTGAATGTAACCAGTTTTTCATTACTCACCGCGCATCTTCGAACTCGACAAAAGCAAATGGCGGACCACGCCGATTTTTCAGGTCCACAAATGTAACTTTACCGAATTTGTGAAAAAGATCCTGGATGTCCTTGGTGCGGATATCTGGCGGCAGATTTCCAACATAAATGCGACACTCGTTGCGGGAACCCATATTTCTATTATTTGTTTACGAGAAGAACTTAGCAATAATAATTTGACTGATTTTTTCAGAATAATTTTTTTTTATCACTAAGATGGCCGACTTAGTGTGACCGTGGATTTCTAGATAAAATATACCGCCTGACCCCCAGAAACATACCCAAATATACCTTCTAATTTTCAAAATATACCGTAAATTACCCATGAAAACCAAATTCCCAAAATTTTATATTCGGTTTAATATTACTAGCTAGTTAGCCCCCTCAGCACTAAACATAGAATTTTGTACAATTTATAAATCAATTTTCTACAAGATTTGTCACCTCTAACGACTCTTTTTTTTATTAGATTACTTATAAACTAAGGTTTAAACTGTAACTACACATTTGCTAAATATCAACGACTTAATTGATGTTAAATTTGTTGTTCCACGCTGCTTTGAAACATTAATATCGCATTTTTCTTAGATTGAGATGTTTTTTACCTATTATGCATATGTTTGGTGTTTTATAAATACATTTATCCCGGTTCTGATACCTATTATTGGTACCCGTGAGCAGAAAAATTTCGTTAATATCTTTAAAACAGAGACTGAGCAGTTTCTGCATTTTCTTTTTGTACCCAAAAAATACTTTTCGATATAAAATCTGTTGCAAAAGTAACGGTTTACCCTACGCGTTTTCAACTTTCAACCAATCAAATCTTTCGATATTTTCTGTAAACATTTGGGGTGGTTTTCTGGGCAAAGTAAAAAAAAATGTTCGCGAGACCATGAAACAACAAAATATTGCCGAATATTTTTCTTCACAAGTCCGCTGAGTACCACAAAAATACCCATTGATAATTTTTTAAATCATATCATTAATATTCACACAGTGAAGTAGACTCATTCTTGCTACGGTTCCCGTAAAATACATGTGGCTCACACCACGAAAAAGAGGGGAATTCACCTCGAAAAAGAGAGCAAATTTTGAAAAACCACCACGATTTGAGAGCGAACGAATAAAGTGACCAAGTCAAAAAATACCAGAATATACCAGGAAGCTGTTCAAAATTCCAGTATATACCATGAAAACAAAATACTTTTTACTCAATTTTGGTATACAAAATCGGCAAATCCGCGGTCACACTGAACAGAGCGTCTCGAGTCGCGACAGAAAAAAAACAACAAATATTCGCATGTGCAATAAAATAAACATTCTGTGGCTACCTTAAAGCAAGCGCGGTCTTGTCAGTCGGCGGGAAAGATGGCCAACTCGAATAGCAACGTGCGGTGCATCAACTACTACGACCTGTGTCGCATCTGCACGGACAGCAGCGACCAGAATACGAATGTATTCTCGGCCGAGGGACGCGCCAAGAATCTGAGCTGCAAGATATACGAATGCCTGTCCTTGCAGGTGAGTGGGCGGTCGCCTTGGTATTTGCGCAGCATGTATTCAAATCGGTTATTTTCAGATTGACGAAAAGGATCGGCTGCCCAAGGTGGTTTGCGGCCAGTGTGTGCAGCAAGTGGAGCAGATTCATGCCCTACGCCACACTTGCAAGAAGACCCAGACTATGCTCAACGATTGTCTCAACATTCCCCCAATGCAGAACCCCAGCGAAAAGCTCTACATAAAAGATGCCATCGACGACACAGGCAAAAGTCTCAGCGTAGTGAGCAGCAGTCCTGCCAACAGCAGCAGCAGTCAATCCAATAATCTGCTCAGCAGTTTTATCCAGGCGGTGGGCATGCAATCCCAGCAGCAATTTACCATCACGGTGGACAACAGTATCCCACAGCAGCAGCAACAGCAACAGAAACAGGCGCCTCCGTCTCCTGTTCAGCAGAAGTCAGACAAGCAAACGTGAGTAAGAGAATCATCTGCTACCAATCAAGCTAACAATTGTTCCATGTTCAACCCCAAAAGTAGCGTCCTGGAGGAGTTTATACGTCTAAAGCCGGATATCAAAATAACTCCCTTGGGCAAGAGGGACCATAGTAGTGCTCCCGTTGCCGCAGTCCCCAGTACGCCACAACAGCAAACTTCACAGCCGCCGCCTCTGCAAGGCACAAACAATGAGAACTATGGCTGCGCCCCAGATGCAATTGCAACCAATGCTTAGCGAGCAGTCCATTTGGCAGCAGATACAACAGCTCCAGCAGCTCACCAGTCAATTGGCGGCCACTACTCAGTTCTCTGCCTCAGAGGATGGCACAAGTCCGAGCGAAAGCAAGAAACCAAAGCTAAATTTTGTTCTTTCCGCGCCAGCTGGGCCCCAGTTTACCACATCACTCCCTCAGTTTGTTGGGGCCCAGCCCCAACTGCAGTTGCAGCTAATGCCCGTTGGAGGATCACCCACTGCTGCTGGCGGCCAGACACAGTTGAATGCCACAGCTCTGCTCTCCAGCCTGTCCAGCCCACAGACGGGCACGAGTGGAGGAGCAGGCAATATTCTGTCGCCCAGCAAATGTTTCCTGCCCATCACCATTCGAGACGAGAACTCCGATCAACAGATAGTGGCGCACATAGATACCAAGAATCTTGTGCTGCCCACCACTTACCAGGTGCAGATGAAGCTACAGCCACAGCTGGCCACCGCCGATGGCCAGCCAATCATGGAGTTGACGCCCACCTCCATTCCCGCCACACTACAACTGACGCCGCAGACATTGGGAAATGCAAACAATTTCCAGGGAGCCACCACAGCAGTCGCATCCGCGGGACAATTTCAGAACATTTTCCTTGCGCCCCAGCCTCCACAACAACAGCAGCAGCAGCAGCCTCAACAACAACCGCCGCATAATTTCCAGCAGCAGAAACATCCGAAACTTGCCGCAAGCACAGCCACAGTGACATCTCAGCAGATCATCAGGTCTCCTCAGTCAAATCTCATGACTCCACAGCTGTTCATCAGGAATGTTCCCGCCGTATCGACCATGGCCAAAACCGTCAAAGATGAGCCCACCTTTAAGATTCCCTCGCCCAAACAGAGGCAAATGCAGCCGCAGCAGACACAGCAACAACCAGTAAACCCCAAAGTGAATACTTCGCCAACATCGTCACCTGTGTCCCAGCAACCATCGCCTGTTCGCAGCCCAGAGCTCAGGCGCGTGGGTGCACAGGGTAAACCACTGCAGTCTGTGGACAACATCCCGCCAACAACCACAACATCCAATCCGGCTGCCTTGCAGCGACTGTCCTCGAGCACAACCATCACCAAGGTGGCCAAGCCGCAGCCAGTGCCGGCACCCCCGAATATGCCGCTGCTGAACAAACAGAACATAACTATTAGTCGAATCCCCACGCAGACTGTAACCCAAACGACTCCGCCCAAACCTTCTATTCCGGCATCGACTGCAGCTCCACCTCCGGCAACTGCAATGCCTAAACCTGCTCTTGCTCCTCCTCCAACGCAGACTCCTTCGATAGCGGTGCAACACAAGAAGATAATGATGGAGAGTCAAGAGAAACAAGCGCCGAAACCAAAAATTCCGCGTCCACCGCAGCCCATCTGCCCAGCGCCTGGTAAGTCTCCGGCAGCGCCTCCTCCCGGTCTGACCTGCCCCAAGTGCAATCGCGAGTTCAAGAAGAGGGAACATCTCGTCCAGCATATAAAGCTGCACGCAGGCCTGCGTCCCTACAAGTGCAGCGAGGAGGGCTGCGACAAAGCGTTTAGCCGCAAGGAGCACTTGTCACGGCATCTGATCTCCCACTCGGGCAAGAAGTTGTTCAATTGCGAGGCGTGCCATAAGCCCTTCTCGCGCAAGGACAATCTGAGCAAGCACATGCGGTAGGTCCATATAGAGTAGGGTTTATGCTCGTATTATAAATTTTCTTTTCTTTGAACAGGATCCACACACATCCGCCGAACGAGACCCTGTTCTGCTGCGACGTTTGCAATAAGAACTTTGCCACCAAGTTGCACTACGAGAAGCATCGGGAAATGCACAAAAAGCCGCCGCGTACGGCTCCTGCTTCCACAGTTACTTCATCCACGCCAGTGCGAACCAATGGCCAAGCACCCGCAAAGGTTAGTTCATCCGACAGCTTAGCGAAACTACAATCTTTCATAAATATCCTTTCTTTCGCAGGATGTTACATTTGAAATCGAACAGCAAACTTCGCAGCAGCAGCAGCAGAAACAAACCCCAAATCAACCGCATCAGGCTCAAATTATGCATGTGGTCACCACCCAGGATCACGCTGGGAACACCATAACTATTACCCAGGCCCCCGACTCGAATATGCCCTCATCCCTGGCTAACTATGTTCAGCTGGGCTTCCCAAACTTTACCAACCCGCCCGCCAACCAATTAGTTTGTAAAAAGTAGACTGTCAACCCCACCCGCAAACTAAACTTAGATCGTCCTAGTCCTTGATTTTCAGTTTGGTTTAATCTGACTGCTGGTCATCAGTTCCTTAATATATTATTTTTAATAGTATTTCATAAGACTTGGGGATGCTCCGCCCCTTCCTTTTGGTGCAATATTACTTTTTAATTTCCTTTTATTTTCGGTGCAGTTCCAGTAAACTGTGCTCTCGATATTCCACCAATTGTATTTTAATGAGCCCCGTATATAGTAGTCACCCCCTCTCAATTCTCAACTGTATGTAAATGCTCGATTTTAAAATGTATATTAAGTATTGTAGTAGGGCTTTGTAAATACTTATCGATCGATGTACTCGTAGATGCTGTAAAGAAATGTAAGATGTAAAAATACCTTTTTTGGGTGAAAGGAAGATGTGCGAAAACGGATTCCACTGAGAAAATAAATACATAAAATATATAATTTATGGATAAAAACGGTATTTGTATTATGTGTATTTCATTTGGTATTGCACACTGGATGGAGCCTTCGATTTTTGTAGGTGCGCTATAAAGCAGATGGCAGGCTGGGGCTGGCCCCAATGTTTACGTGAATATTTTTGGTAAGATTCGTTCGACTGAAAATACGAATTTTATAGTGTTAGTTCCATTGGGCCAGATAACTTATGGATAGGTGAAAAAGTATTTCGCAAGAATTGAAACATGCGAACAAGCAAACGAAACGAATAACAAAAGCAAGCCAGATATCTAAATCCAAATCCGAATCATTAATAAAACAAGAAAAACCATTTCCCTTGAATCTGTTGTGTGTGTTTACGCATTTAATCAAAGAAGATGCACTTGTCATGGGGATGTTTAATACTTGGCATGGTATGTGTATGGGTGAGGCAATTACATGGAAAAGGCTTACAAATAAATGCTAAAAACTAGATGGAAGACTACAGCAAGCATAAATATATATTTAAACATACAAATCTTTGGTTTAACAATTAACAAAATTAAGGTTAAAAGCTACTGGGGAAGAACGAAAATAACATAACTGAACAGAACAGAGCAGCTATGTACATATCTACTTGCGATATCGGTTGGGGGAAAAACATAATCTACTTTCAGGCGTCAGACAATCAACATGGACACGCATGAATGATGTGACCGGTGACTGTAATCCGTAACAAGTGCGAAATAATTGAATACAAAAATCATAATTGGTTTGTTTAGATATCAGGGAGAAGTGAAGATTGTGTGGTGGGTGCATGAAAGCAGCAAAGATCGTGAGTCGCATGAAAAATGTCCACCTCAACTGCAAACCAAATGTTGATGGGAAACGAAATAATACGAGAAACTAGAACTACTGGTAAGGTAACTGGTAATTAGGTAAAGGTCGTGCAGTGCAATGTTAGGACTAAGGGGTGCCCGAAACCGAATCCAAACCGAAGCGATCGAGTGCCTTTAAATAGCTAGCAAGTACACTAAAAAATAAATGGCTACCTTGGGGGTCTGATCTATCCCTGTATCAATCATAGCTGAGGGCAAACTGATTGACCTTTTGCACATCTCCCCAGACCTGAATCGCTTGGATTTCGGAGAGCGAGAAGAGCGTCTCGTATTTGCTTATGAAATTGTGACCCGTGTCCCTGACCTGGTAGACGATCATTGTGGAATTATCATAATCGAATGTAAACTCTAGGCGAAAGGTTGATTCTGTGGATGAAAGTTGGAACGCCGCATCAATCTCGTTCATAATACTGGCAAAGCTTTGGGTCAGGGTCTTATCACTATCGCCTGTACCATCGAATATGTTTAGGTAGTGCTCCTGCTGCAGGCTGCTCCACTCGCCGTTCCGCTTGTAGTTTTCGATGATAGTCTGTGTGGGGATCACCACCTTAAAGTGATATGTGATGTTGTCTGTACAGACTGGACTGTTCACAAAGTTCACCGAGAATCTGTAGAGATAGAGAGAGAGAGAAGGAGGGAAGAGACAAAGTGAAAAATGTACCATTTGTTTATATCTCTCATGTGTATGCTAATGACGTCGCGATCTGCCCATTTGACCCCCGTCTCCCAAGCTGCTTAGTCACTAAATAGCCAAATCATATCTGTGTTTGTTCCTATGGCACATGGCGGTTCGGCAAGTTTTTGGAGACCCGTCGTCATTGCTGAGTAGGTGCGAAAAACGTGCCAAGCATTCAAGGAACGGAATTGGGATGTTTGGCGGATTGTCATTTGGAATTTCATTGTTAAAGCATTCTTAGTCACTTCAATGTGTGTTTAAAGTTCCTGGTTTAACCAATTTCTTATCTAAGTAAACACACCTTACAAGCAAATAGTACATACAATATCTAATATATGTATGACACATTTATGGTGGCAATCAGCGGCATGTTATCGATGTGGAGATAAGGCATTCAAGGTCTCTTGGTTTTTCCATTATCTTGTAGTTGAGGCCAATCGAGAACCCAACCCGGATTCCATTGTGCTGTAACAGATCAAATGGTATTCTGTATTCTGATTTATTGACATCATTTGCTTAACCCACACCACACCACACCGATGATTGCTACAATGATTTGCTCGTTTCTTTTTGTTGGCTCTGTTTTCATTTTCAGATTGTTCTTTGCTGTTGTCTTCTTTGCCGGCCCGGCATCTTCAGCCACTCTGTTGCGCGTGTCTGCTTTAATTTTTTTGCGTTGATGATGTCATTGATTGTGGAATTGATACAGCAGTATCCAGACGAGTCCAGTTTACTCGTAAGTATAACTGCATCTGTACGTACGAGTATGTACGTATGTACGTGTCTAACTGATTTTCTACCATCTGCTTATCGCTTTGTTAGATCATGAACTCATAATTTGGCCTTTGTTATTTATAAGAATCTATCAATTTTGCAGCCCATTTGTATGTTTCATGTGTGCGCCATAAATCGTCCGCGAGTTCGTGAGAATTTTCCCTCTAATCGGTTCAAATGTGTTCCACATTCCTTAGACTATTAAAATTCTGCACGCGAAGAACAAGTTTCCGTAACTTGGGCCAGGAAATTGCTAATCGATTTTCTTAAAGTTTCAGGAAAACCTCTAGCCTTTAAGGATAGGATTTTTTAGGTGAACTTACTGCTGAGGTTGCTGGAGCAGGGTGCCGCTGATGGTCAACTTTGTTACGCGGTCCGATGCGTTGGCATTGTTGGGCAGCACCGCTAAAAACTTTACATCAGGCATTTTATGTCGTTCTGTGTTCGGAATCTCTGTCTCCTGTATTGGATGAAATGCGCTTTGGTTTTCGGCCCGCTGACACGCCTTGCAGGGTTTATTTTTAGCGGGTATGTGTAATTGTAAATTATATCCGGCGAAATGTTGACAAGTCGTTTGCTTTGGGCTCGTAAATGCAGTTGCCAACGGTAACAATTGGATTATAACTCTAAGTACTGAATGGCAGAGTACTTAGCTCTCGGCGGGCTCAGGCAATACTGTTGGATGGTTAACAAAAATGCGGCTATATTAAGGGAAAAACGATATCAAGCCAAAGATCGCACACCGACGTCACGGGTAAAGTACTTTAGGCTGGGAACGCATATATACGCGGAGTACATATTTGTTTGTCCGGTTACGAGATTTCTTGAAACCGTGAGGCGGCGCGGTGCTGTTCCGTCTGGCCTGCTATCGCGCTCGCTCGCTGAGTCAATACTGTTCTGTGCCGTATTTTGGGGAGCAGCCGCTGCAGGCGGTGAGCGGCCAACAGCAGCTGAGTGATACCTCACACCTGTTAGGCCAATTTATTTCTCTCGGAATTTCGCTGAGAAATTAAAGAACTTTGTTTACTTTTGCTCTCAGCTATGTTGCTATGAGAACAATAAAATATGATTCAAATTTCTCGCGCTCTTCTTTACGATATATCTTAACCGATATGTATCGATGTTTCCGAGTGCCGTCATCTCAGAATTTTTCTGGCTAGTTTTAGCTAGTAGCACTAACCATACAGTATATAGATGGGCTAGTTCATACAACGAAAGTGGCGCAGCTAAGTTTTTAGCGTACGTTCCCAGGTCTTCGGCTCTGGGGCCGACCGCGTTCGGCTCTGGGAATGACCGCATTCGGCTCTTTAGTTGGCTTTTTAGCTGCCGAAACCGACTTTGCTTGAGATTTCAGTTTACCTAAATGTGTGTGAGCCATGTATTCTCACATACTGTGCTAGTGTGGGTTCTACAATTTTTTGCCGCTTGAATTGGTTTTTCGTTTTGTTTGGAGGGCTGATGTAGCGACCTGAGCTGACCTGCCGCAACATAAATGAGGAATGGGCAGAGTGGGTGGGGATGGGAAATGAATACAATATATTTGATTTATTTGGAATTGCACATTTTCATATACATATCCCTATTTTAGACCGGTTTTTTTATACCCGTACTCAAAAAAGAGTTAAGGGGTATATTAGATTTGTGGTAAAAGTGGAATTATGTAACGCAGAGAAGGAAACGTTTCCGACCCCATAAAGTATATATATTCTTGATCAGCATCAATAGCCGAGTCGATATAGCCATGTCTGTCTGTCCGTCTTGTTGAGCGCCTAGATCTCAGAGACTATAAGAGCTAGGGCAACCAAATTTGGTTTCCAAGCTCATTCGATATCACACTGCTACAAGTGTATTTCAAAATTTCGCCCCGCCCCCTTCGGCCCCCACAAAGGACGAAAATCTGTGGCAGGCACAATTTTAAAGATACGATAAAAGCGCAGTATCGTAGAGAATGACCATATCTACCAGATTGCCGAATATGAATTAGATCGGATCATAATTATAGCAAGAATGGAAATAATTTTCTGTTCTGCCAGACCCGCTACCTACCTTTCCGCTCGCACACGCCGCATTCAGTGTGCGAGCAACACTAGCGGGGAGATGTAGAACTAAATGGAACAACTACATAGATGCAGAGTAAAATGTACATTAAATTTATTTTTTTTTTTAATTCTTAAATTCTATAAAATCATATGCTCAAAAATATATATACTGGCTGAGTACGGGTATAAGTAGAGTCGCGTCTCCAGAAGCGACTCGCACGTTCCTTCTCGTTTTAATTACATATTGTACAAATGCCGTCGGTTTTCGGCATCTTTTATTTGTTACACTTACATGTACGTACACGTACATGCTTGCTATCCGTCGGCTCGTGTCACTTAATGAGCCGAACGCGGTCATTCCCAGAGCCGAACGCGATCGGCCCCAGAGCACCACTTTCGTTGTATGAACTGGCCCATCTATATACTGTATTGTTAGTGGCAGTAATCAGATCGACAAACCAAAAAGGTCGGTATATACTAGAAAAGTATCCGAAGTATTTGCTTGTATTGCTGGTAGGTTTCGACCCGCCCAGAAAGTTATATCAATTTGATATATTTTGCCAGCAAACACGAAGCAATCATTGCAATAAGAGAACAAAAAACCAAATGAAATATTTTAATAATGAAGAAAAATAGAATCTAGTTAATGCAGTATTATATGAATGACAATTATATGGATATTATAATTTATTATTTTTATTAATTTTCATAAATATTAAAAAAATATTGTTTTCAAAACATTTTTTCTTCACGGTGTCCGGCACGGAAGGCGTCGCCATCTGCTGCTGCTGATAGTCAAACACATTACCTTGCCAATAAAATGTTGGGGAGCCCAAGATATGCCTGGGGAAGAGCGGCCTCAGCCGAAGAAGTGCATTTTATTAACTTTAAACAAAACCAAGCAGCGGTCTGAGCAGCGTATCCGTTCGGAATGCAGTGCACACCTCTGGTCACACCACTGGCCGCTCGAAGAATATATGACATTTGTTTGCTGGCAAACAGTTTTTGGATCTGAGTACTAGGCTTATATTCCACATCCTTACAGAATAACTAGCAAATTCCTGGCAGGAATTTTCCGCAGCGGTGGAGACAGCCCTTAAACATTGAAATCATCGAAAAGCAACATCGTGCATGCCCTCCACAATAAAACATCGATAGCACCATCCCAACAGAAGTATCTGGTCAGATTCATCGTCGTGCGAACACTCAATTCGCTTTAGCGATTAAATACCAAAAACAAAAAATAACACGAAGTCAAGTCGAATTTTTCTATAAAAAGAATTTAGTAAATTAAAGACATAAATTAAATCTGAATAGCAGCAAAATGAAGACATCGCATGTGGTGCTTGTGGTCTGTTTCCTGGCCGGCGTCGCACAGACAACGCTGGCGCTTAAAGAGGAGGACTGCGAAGGTATGTATCTTGGCCACGTAAGTGGTAAATGTTCTGGAGAAGGTTTTCCACCAAAATTTTGTAGTTTGTATCAAGACTGTCAGGCGCTTTGCGGCTTCCCTTGACGATGCCACCAAGAGCGACTTCAAGCAAATTGAGACTGAATTCAAGAAGTTCTGCAAGACACAAAAGAACAAGGAACACAGATTCGTGAGTAGCCGGCAAACAAGTGTAGTGTGCTCTTCCGCATAGGTACACGTATGCTAACACGTATGCTAACATTTTCCATGTAGTGCTATTACCTGGGTGGTCTGGAGGAATCGGCCACTGGAATCTTGAACGAGATGAGCAAACCCCTGAGCTGGTCTATGCCGGCCGAGAAGGTGTGTGAGAAGCTGAAGAAGATGGATGCGCAAATCTGCGACCTCCGATATGGTACGTACGCCTGCAAAATAGAAACTTGTATGGAATTAAACTAACTAGGCCATATTCATCTGTAACTGCAGAGAAACAAATTGATCTGAACAGTGTGGATCTGAAAAAGCTAAAAGTACGCGACCTGAAAAAGATCCTCAACGACTGGGATGAGAGCTGCGATGGCTGCCTGGAGAAGTCTGACTTCATCAAACGCATCGAGGAGCTGAAGCCCAAGTATGCGCGCAGCGAACTGTAGATCGCATCGCTCAAAAGTCTAGAGTTACTTGTGTAGTTACATGGAACACGCCCACTCAAATAGAAGAAACCCCCACTACACATCCGTATTTTTAGTTAATTTACAATTTTTATAGACTTTGAGAGAATTGAATATAATATATACAGAAAGAAACGATATTTTGAAATAAAAAATAAACCAAGAAACACACAACAATCAGGTTCGGCTTTAGGGCAGAGCAAGCGGGGCCGTGGCGGTGGCGCTTCGTCTTATGTATTACGTACACACAATTGAAATAACAATGGAATTTCACAAAATATCTGGATTAAAGTTTTATTTAAATGTTAAATAATTCGATTGATTGCACTTTCTTGCGCGGGCCACATAAATTCGATCTGAACGAAAGGCTGGCTCGCCTTAATTAAATTACAATTATTAGTTAGACATATCCACTAAATACGAGCATAAGCAGTTGGGATAATTATTATAAACTAGGATGATAGAATGGATATTTCTGGCTAGAATGGAAGTGATGATGAGAGTGGGGGATCGCACCTTCAGGCGTATCCTTAGCGGCGGTATGGCTGCTTGTTGTATCGTCCACGCTCGTTCTCCTCGGAGAGATTAACATATTCGCTGTAGACGACGCACCAGCAATAGGTAAGGACCGCTGAAAGAGAAGACATACAAATGTTTATAATTTGTCGTTATTTGTTGTCTCTAGTTTCCCGAGTTTCGGGCCCACTGTTCAATGCATTTTACTTTATTTCTACTAAACACTATGCTACATGCCATCTACACTGGAAGCACTGCAATGGAAGCGAGTCTCGCCCATATATTATCTGCTGCAACAAATTGCATTTGCCAGCCACTTCGCGCCTCATTTGTTGGGTTGGCTGGGGGCGCCTCCTTTTTTGCTTTCAGCACACGGGGCAATCAACGCAATGATAAATGCGTCAATAAAGTAAAAACGGCTCGCATAAAACGCCATCCGGTGCTAAAAACCGCACATGGAAAAGTTACAGCTGCCTCCACAATTTGAATCTGCCCCCATCCTCCATCCCCCATCCCCCATCCACCATTCCATTCCCACTCCTTAGCCCACTTACCGCAACAAATTAAGCCAAATATCAGCCAGAGAACACCCGTCAACACATAGCCATCAATGAAGAAGACGACGGCCGTGTAGATGACTGAGATCAGCAGTCCAATGGCTATCATGATCCCAAGCACCACCCAGGGCACCATCAGGTAGTGGTTGCGCTAGAATATACAACACAAAGATTAATGATGCAATCTGTATTCGACGAGCACACTTCGTGTGTGGTGTGGGGGAGGACTGATCATAACATACCTTGAGGGCGCCTGCGATCATTAGCAGCGATATAAATATGGTCATGCACAGGTTGATGACAAGTATTATCTTGACAATGTCATTGGGTATAAAGTCAAATACGATCGTCTGGAAATGCACTCTCGTTGTGAAGATCACCACAATGGTGATGATGGATAGGACAATGGCCAGGATGCCGGAGATAAAGGAGCCATTCCGCGTCGACTGACACAGGCAGCAGGAGTTCAATAGAGGTTTTGCCATTTTGGCAAATTAAGATGCGGATTACAGACGATATCAACTGGAAATATAAAAGGAAAATAAAAATGTTAAAATTTGTCCGAGAGCGGTATACTCGTCATATGTAGTCATATTTTTAAGAATGCTAGACTTCCTCAACTGCTTCGTCATATAACTGATGATGTTGTCTGGGAATTTGTGGAAGTATTACCCATCTACCCTTCCTCCCATTGTTTCTATCTTATCAACAATATGTTTCTGGCTAATATATGACGAGTGTTTTGTACAGGAACCAGCTAGTATTTATTTTATGGCATTCCTGTGCACCCCCACCTTGACACGCTTTGGCAATTGCAAGAGGTAAAGATAAACAGTCCGTACGAAAAACAAGATCCAATAATTTGACCAATTGTGACGTCAAGCAACAACTGTTTATAAAACGAAATTCGATTTTAAAAATAGAAGGAAACGAGAAGAAAACAATAGCCAAAGAGCGTGGAATACTTGAGAGAACGTAAGACTTATATATAGCCAAATCTTTTAAATAAATCAACGAATCGAATGACTAATCAATGCACAACTTTGGTCCGCAAGGAAGTTATTCGGAAATTCCAGTCAATCCCCCAAGTTGCTGCTTTTCGAAAGTTGATATCATCCACATGAGCACACGATCCAGATAGGCGCATGCATGCATCTGCATCTATGAGTTATGGCTCATCAAATGCAGCCACCGGGCATTGTCATTAAATTAATCAAACGTTTAACGTGCTCCGGACACCGGCTTCAGCTTCAGCTTCAGCCACGCCACGGATTGATGTGGCGCATGTTGGCACATGCAAATGCCGATGCAGCTGGCTTTTCCATTCGTATCTATCGGATGAATGCCGAGGCATCCACATTGCACTCGTACATGTGGCCCGCGGCCGGCATCAACTCTGATGAGATAATCACACGCCAAACTGTCTTGTCTTACATGGAAACACTTTGAGAATTTCTGTGAGCCGAAACTGGTTGCCTGGGAAATGGTCAGCCCGCACTCGAACTCAACTCCCACCCGCACCCGCACCCGCAGCTAAAGTTCAAGCAAAAGATACACAAAGAGATGTACGGATACAGATACCATTCGTATTTAAAGCAACATTTCCGCCGAGTTGAGTTCACACCTCACGCAGAAAAAGAAGAAAGAGAGAAATACGTATGAAATAGCCAAACAAACAGCACAAAGATGTGAGGAAAGAATCTCGGCAAGAATACGAAACAAATTACGTAATTAACAGGGGAGGGAGGCGGGGCAGAGAGAAGCATGGACAGAGGACAGGTTAATGCCTAAAGATCACATTTTGCTCGAACGGAACAGAGTGAACTTTTTATAGCTGCGTTGATAAACCGGACACATGGCGCGTTACCTTGGCGTTCTCCACGCGTTTCGCACGCGTTTTTTCCAGCCCATAAATGGAGCAGAATTTGACCGCAGAAACATTTGTCTGGCTTCTATTGCAATTACATCTTGAATTACATACGTTTTGGGCTGAATAGGAAAACAAAGCAATGCAATATGAAGCAATAGACGAAACCGATTCAGGTCAGAGTGTACAACGCAAAAGTATCTCTGGGCAAATTCCATGCCCAGATGTTTCCCCAAGTTCGCATTTGAATGGCGCTAATATTACCAATGAACTCATCGTTAATCTAATGGTGACGCCGACTTCCGCTGGACGCTCCAATAAATTATAATTATATGTAATCGTAATCCCCTCCGGATCTGCCGCTGACGGAGTCAAGTTCAAAACCCAGCGTGGGCGATATTTTTTTCTGAGGAATTTCTGCCTCAACACCACTCGATGTGGGTTTTATGAGTTGGAAAGTGTTTAAGACTTGACAAGTGCAACTGGACGCGGTTGTCATTGCACTTTTGTCGGTGTTTGTAGGTTGTAGATTGTCTGTCTGACTGTCTGACTGTATCTGCGTCTGTGTGTGGGAGTAAAAGTTGTCAGATGCTGATGCTGGTAAATGTGAAAGGTAAATTTAGTTAGAAGAAGATGTACGAGAATCGGGGGAAAGCCAAACAACTTTTTCTGGGAAATGCAACTGAGAGGTCATCCTACAATAGTTCCCTCAACAGCAAAGCCACCCATCAAAACCTAAACATTCAGTTAGGCTGAACAAGTAAACTATTACAAAATGTAAAATTTACATTTATCATCATTCATTAATCAAATCGTGACCCATTTGTCTAGAGCAAGCGAGCTGAAAATATTGTCCATATAAATCATGTCAACTGCTTTGGTTATACGAGTACGAGCAGTACATACGTACATATGTACGATCGTATGCCTAGGGAAAATTGTTTAAATAAACAACAACAGCCCGATCGGCTTTTGTAATTTTCGTGTGCAGTGAGCGCGTGCCCAGGGGTCTGGGATCTAGTCTGGCTTTTGTATCTGCCGGATACATGATTGTTTTTGGCATTTATCTGGCATCTGGTATTGCCGCCAGCGAACCCGACGCCAATTATTCCCAACTCTTTTGTTGTTCACTTTATCGCGGGGTGGGGAGGCGAACTTTTGTGACCCCTTCTACGCCTCTTCACAGCCCACCCCCACTATTCAATCCACCAATTAGTTTGCGCTTCAACGCGTAATTAAGTTTGACATTTTTCCGCGCTATTTTTTGCGCCCAGACACAAAAGATACTCGAACTCGGGCAACCCAAAGCCTTGCGTATCTGTATCTGCAATTGAGCTGCGATGTGGCTGGAAATTACTCAATCTATGGCAGGCTGTAAGCACAAGTGGGAGCAGAGCTAGCTGCTCCGATGAGTGGCCAAGTCGGGTTTCAAACCGGTCAAAAATCGTTCTACCAAATTTGACAAGTCCCAAGCACGCGGCATTTATTTGGCTTTTATTTATTTTGCTCGTTTCTGCCACTTGAGCGAGCGGCTTTGTCTTAGCTTTTTGTCAAATCGAATTTTGTCGATGGTTTCTCGCTTTCAGCATTCGGTTTTCGATCACTCGACTTGCCATATAAATCAATTAAGCCCGTTGCAGCTGCAGAACTCAATTGCATTTGCAGCAGCCTTTGAAGTGGCCTTTGCCGACGGACGGGGCTTTCAATTTTAATTCATGATTTTGCAATTACGCGGCGGCGCCTTTATGGTGCGGCACGCACTGCCACTGCCCCTTCCCCTGCCCTGCCCCGGACCCGACACTTTTCAAATCCATATCCATATGCATAAAGCCACGAGATACTTTTCCACGTTCTGTCAATGTTCTTCATGGTCAGGGAGGCGGCTGCGGCGACATTGAACGCGTTCAAAAAAGCAATTCTAGAGGATCATTCGGCTTTGCTTTCGTTTTTCCCACCCAAAGCGAAAGTTTTCGCTCTAACATCAAAATGATTCATTTATGAGAGGAGAACATAGAAAATAAATACACGAAAATGCTTATAAATAGCCCCACAAGGTCGCGAGCATTCAACTGGGAGATCTAGAAAAAACAACAGATCCATAAAATGCTTTTAGTCGCCAGTCATCAGCTACCTCAGAACTTTTGTAATGGAAATTCTCGTACTGCGAATACCCGATCAATGAGCATTGGCCACACAGATTTTGTGGTCAAGTAGTAGGCCTCCATCTCCTCCACCAATCTGCCATCTGGCATTAACTATTCGCTGCCACTGTGGCAGCGTAGGTGTGCGAACGCCTTCTACCATTCCATTCCTATTTATTTAGCTAGAATGTGTTTTTTTTCTGTGTGTCTGTATTTTTTTGTTGTCATATATTTTCGTCGCTGTTTTATCTGTTGCCTTGTGTATTTTGTAACCTTCACATTGTTCTTTCCTCTATCTTGTTAATTTTTTTCATTTATTCTTAATGGGGATGCGCGTCACTGAACTTTGCTGCGCGGGTCTGGTTTTGATCGGAGATCGGAGATCTTCAAATTCGATCATTTCCTTTAATAATTGTCTGCCAGTGGGAGTGTCGACTTAATATTCACCGCCTCACTGTTAATTTTCGGCTTGAATGTGAGTTTTATGGATCGCAAATGTCTGGAATATCTAAAAAGATTCACATTAACATTTAGCGAACGTATACGCCTCCGCCTCTGAATGGAAGTGAACATTTTATTGACCTACATATCCTTTACTCCAACCTGTTCAACTGGGCACTTGTTTACCTCTCTCTCTCGCTCTCTATTTCTGAATATCACCAAAAAGGTGGGATATGTCAGTTCGTAAACGATTTCAATGTCATCTTGCTTTTGCTGACATCATGCATTGCATTCACATTCACATCAGCAGCAGCAGCAGCAGCAGCTCCTTATATATGCACATATAGCTGAGCTGTGTGTCTATATAGATCGCAATTCGCAAAAGCAATAATCAAAGCAAACAAAACGGTTTCTGCCTCTGCCCATATAGCATTTGGGTCAGGCGGGATCAGAGATCTGCGATCGACGATCAGAAGTCAAAACAAACTGTGGCATTATTTTTTGTTTTTGTTTAATTAATTTATATTCGGCTTTTCTGTATTTTTGCGTTATAGAGTTTGTTTTTTTTAGCGCATTTGTCATAATTTGTATTTGTAGGCGCTCAGAAAAATCATTTAGTAGCATGCCAGACTCAGACTCTGCCTGAAGTTCAGTGGCGATCATTTGAATATTGAAATTGCTGGCAGCGCGGCGGCAGCTAAATGAAATTGAATATGTTTTGTATAAAAAATACAACAACAAAATAAAGAAAACACACACAGAGCCAAGGCAGACGAGCAATCAAGTCGCCAGCTGGGACTGGGACTGGCTCTAGGTCTCTGGCTACGGCTACTGTAGCTGGGGGACCACTGTGACTGTGGGGTGGGGTGGGGTTCCTACTGCACACATCCACCTCCGTTGGAGAGCTGCTCGCCTGTTATTTTAATTTCGAAACGATCGTTTATCACTTGATTTGCATTCGATTGGGATCGTTCTGCCAATTGGCTGCACTTTTTCGCTGATAATGTCAGGCATTGGCATTTGATTTGGCAAGTGGCCCGCAGTGATCGATCGCATTGCCAAATATAAACCAAATTCACTTACACTTTCTACTTTTGCTGAATGGGATGGTCCCAGTGGGTGTTTGGAACCAATCGACTCTTTATGGCCTTGCAATTGATTAGTGCTCGTATGATATCTGTAGGTACAGATATATAATTGGATATATCTTCAGAAAGTTTTGACGCGATTTCAATTCGGTTTGCGCGCGTTTCCGTTGTGTGTGCGGCGAGTTTCACGTAGCGACTGAAAACGCGCTGCTGAACACGAGAGTCTCAGTCGCTAGAGAGCGCAGCGGCAGAAACAGCGCAGCCACAGCGATCCGATCGCGGTTTTTGCTCTCATCTACTGGTCGCGATTCTGCTGTTTCTTTCTCTTAGTGGCAGCAAGCTAAAGTTCTTAAACTTAGACGTTGTTCCAAGTTTACGCCCAGCGACAAGCTTTCGGGGGAAAGCTTTCTCTGAGGGAGAACCAGTTTCTCAGATTGTTCCGGCATAGAGTTATCAAAGAGCACTTGGACAAACAATGGACACGGTTCGGTTACAGCGCTTTGCACTATCCTAACCAAACAAATCATTAAAACTTGCTCCGCTCATTCTCAATTCTCATTACTGGGGCTGGACTCCGACCCCGGCCCAACATCCGCCTAACCGCGATCCCATTGAGCCCCCTGTTCAAGATGCGCGCCTTAGATATGCCAGCACGCCATGTCTCCTAGTGCCATTTTTGGTTAGTTGCTTAGCCACTGCCAGTTGTTGCCCGTTAGTCGCCAAGTTTTTGGACATTTTGCCTTAAAATGGTAAATGCTGGCATTCAACTTATTGGCAGTTGGGCTCGTTCAACGATCGACTGCCGCTTGGCGAGAGTTTTGTGGGCCATGCAGCTACTTTCATATTTATCAAATCATACCACAACTAAGCTGGTTTCGTTCCCTTTGTTTGTTGTTTGCTGTTTGCTGGAACGTCTATCTGCCTTCTATTGTATGCAAATTTTGTGTCAAATTTAAGGGGAGTGGAGTTGAGTAGAGGATGCTTGTTAAGGCAACGGACACCAATAATTTGGGTCAGGATATCTTTGACACGACAGCTTCCGCCTAACCTATTAACAGTTACAGTTGTAGGGATTGCACATTGATTTTTATTTCAAGTATACAGTTTGCCTTCCCCCAGTTCCCACAGCGGGCTCATTCTTTATATGTATATCCATATGGCACCCATTAAACAGTCGCTTATCGTGGCTATAAAGATCAGTGTCAGGTTATCTTCGGTACTGGTTGTCTGCATGTCTGCAAGTCATCATTTATATATATATTTTCGTCAAAAACACAATACATATATAATATATAGCTAGACATGGTGATTTTTTAGTGCTACGTTTTTTGGCTGCATATTATATTTTATTTTGAAAATTTATATGTTCATTAGAGTAAATAATTTAATCAGGTATGTTGAGAAATAATCAATTTGCTTAATTATGGTTCAGCCGGACACTGCAAAAAGGAAAGGGAACGAAAACCAAGGCGGTACTGAAATCGAAATCCATTGAGACCGTTTGTGTGGTGGGACCAGGGGGTTGCTTATTTATTGCTTGGTACAGCTACAGCCCGGTAATATCTATGCATAGTTGTAGCGTTGAAATGTATAAAATTCTCATTATGTTTCTCTCATGTAGAATGGCGCTGACGCTCCTAGATCCTGGGACGCACCGACTGACTACCCACTAACAATTTTGTGTGACCCACGCCTGCATCTGTCTACCTGATGGAGTTGTCTGTTGGCTGGTCTCTATTTACTTGTCCCAGCTGCTGCAGCATCTTCCTTTTTCTTCTGCTTATCACGCATCACCTCAGCATCCCTGAAATAATTATGATCATCATTATGGCCTTAGTACTTTAAATATACTCGATACTAACCTAGCCTTGCGCTGCTCCACAGTGAGATTATCGGTACGCTTTCCCTTGGTCTGATCCGACAGTTTCTTTTGGGCCTTCTGACGCGCCAGGTCTCTTTGGTTTCCTCCTGTAAAGGTAAACGATCCATTAATATTCTAAGCCGTGCCATATGCTTATTCGCGCGTGATAAATGATCTAATCGCGCTGGCAAAGAGGTTAGAAGCGCACACGGTACGCTACGTGTTCGCAGTCGCATGTCCTAAAAACAGCCATCGATTTTACACTCTCTAAGTGGAAGGATAGACCCTACACAGTTTGGTGTAGCCAAATGGTTCAATGGTTCAATGCGGATGGATCTGTAGCACACCTCTACCTACGTCAGATGTATTCTACGTAGGCCTCCACGTTATATTCACATAAATATTCATGGGGATCGCACAACAAAATGGATGGCCTGGCCTAAATACTGCGCACTTACGTGTCATTTTTGTCGCTATGGATTAACGTAATGCCCCGGTTCTAGCTGGTATATCTCGCTCCGCAACGGCGTGTACGTATGAATATTGGTCCTAAGTAATCCGAATATATTTTAATTTTTATGATTTATTTGCAGCGGGTTGCTTTATTTTGCGATGTTGTTGTTTTTTATTAGAGATGGACTTATCGATAAAATATACCGAAATATACATTCTTATATTTAAAAATTATACCGTAAATATACCGAGGAAAAAACTAACTTAACCCACTCAACCCCCCTCTATTTTAACACTTGGAGTTAATCAGCGGAAAATAATGATAAATTATAAAAATAATAAATGATGCTGTTGAGTAAATTGTTCATCCATCCAATCGAAAATGATCACGATAATTCATGCGTATTCGTGTTTGTTGATCGGAATTTTGTGTTCGATTTTGATATGCGGTTTAATAAACTAGCTAGATAGTATCCTCAGCACTGGACATATAGTTTTATAAGATTGATGAATCAATTCTCCACAAGATAGGATAATTTTAATTTTATATAATTGAATTGTTTATAAAATAAGTTATAATTCTTTCGCTCTCCCTGCATGTTTTTCCGAAAGTCTATCGTTACTTAGTGTCATACGAACATAAGTTAAAAAATATCGGTTTCGTGCGATAAGCGAACTTAACGGCGTTTGATTTTGAAAATAACAATATTAAAGTAGTTAAGTGTTGAGTGTTGAGTTCAAAATAACAATGAAACAAACCATGGTTCAAAATACCAAGAGGACGTGAGGTGATTCAAGAACTGTGAGTTGATCGAGAGAAGAGCTATTTAATAGTTTATTATGCTATTAACCCAGGTTTATTTTGCGTAGTCATGTAATTTACAATTGAATACCATGCATTAGCCAATGTAAATATAATTGACTTTAGGACAGAAAGAATATTTAAAATGCAATTTGTACTTTGAATTTGAATGATAAACAACATTATTAATTTGGAATGAGTAACTTAAAGTTTCATGAACGGTAACCTGCAGAACTGAAAGATACTCATTGCAATAGGGGATATTCGGAAAAGCGTATATTAAATATCCAGGTGGGGAGGCGTTCATTAACGCTTTGGTTAACTGACACCATTAGACCAAGCCCATACCTCGTGATTCTTGTTCGGGAAAGCGTTTTTTGTTTCTCCGAAATTTGATAAAAGTCTTTTCGTCGAATCTGAATTTTCTGTGGGGATCATTAAATAAGATTATGTAGGCGAGAGTCAAGGTTCCCAGCAAACCCACCCCGCCCCGAAAGAGGTGGGGATACTCCGCTCGGATACCTTCGACTGACTCTTTGAACATCTTTGGCCTGAGGGCCAACGCACAAGCCACAAGACTCGTCCTCTTATTCTGATTAGATGATTACAAAGTATTAAACAAATTTCCACTAAATAAATTTGGTTGCCTGTTGGATCCATTAAAATTAACTGAACGGCAGAAAAATGAATATGTGTAGTATTTATTTAGATTAAATGCAAAATATCCAGAAATTTACCAAGTGTTGCGACTCATTCTGAGTATTTGACTCATACCAAACGCAATCACATTCAAGAGTGCCAGAGCTAATTTTAAAATACTCCATTTTACTCCATTCTCCATTTAAAAAACCGAAAAGTGTTTTGATATCTGTCAATTATTTTCCGTCATGTACCTAGTTGCTTACAGCCAATTGGGAGGATTTTGGTCGTGGTACACTAAAGCGTTGCTCTAAATCTTGAAAGATTTGTTTGCAACTTGAGTGCTCATACTCTCTTTTCAGTACCCAAACTTCCACTGTGCTCAGCAAGATGAACTTGGCTTGCGGCCCCTGGAACAAGGGCAAATATTAATTTCATTGTGGCGTATCTTCATCGCATTGAGCAATTGTCAATTTTCAATTTTTTACCTCCCTTGGAAAGTTGCCCGCCCACAGTCCTAATGCCTCCAGATAAGATCTTATTAGAATGCGCCAAGTCCAGTAGTTATCCTCGTCGCCAAGTCTTCCTATCGCCGGACTCATTACACCAAAGCCTCCGGCTTTACTTGACCTATCCCCCATTTCTGGCAACACCCGAAAAACACGGCAGTAAATTTTGAAAATCCATTTAGGCAGACAACTCATTACATTTCTTTCTGATCCGTAGCCTGCTTGTTTCGTTGTCTACCAGTTCTAAAACTTCTGAAACGAGTATACCAAAAGGTCTGAGTATATGTATCTATATATATGTATCCAAAACACATGATTCACAAAATAATTTGCGTAACTTTAATTATCAAACAATAATGCATTGTCTTTACTGCTGATGTACAATAACTTTAACATTTAACATTTAAATGCGTGAAAGATGCTTCTCTCTGGCTCGCTCTGGGGGGCAGCAAGGGCTAATACTAGGACCTAGGAGCAGGTGCAGATGCAGATGCGGATGCGGATAATGGAATGCGGTTAATGGGTAAATGGGAGGCTATGTAGAGCTGGACTATCTCCTCAGGCATGGCTCGCAGGTGCCCGGCAGGACGAACGATGGATGGCACTCCGGACACTTGGGATTCTCGCCGAACCACTTGATGGAACTGCTGCCCGATCCGCTACGATGCTCGGGGATCTTTAACTGAAATGAATTGTAGACATCCCCGGTGCTGGAGCTGGAGCTGGAACTGGAACTGGCACCGATGCCGGCGCCAGGACCATAGCCCGTCCGCCCAATCGTCTCCAGCGGAAAGGCGTACTCAGGAATGAGCAGCTGCTTCCGAAGCGTTGTTATGTCCGTGGAACTTCCCACCACATCCGAGCGACGCTGTGCCTGATCATACTTCTCCGTGGTCTTGATCGACCTTGAGGTGGGCAAGCGTCTGCTGGTGCTCGATTGCTGCACCGGCACCTGCACCTGAACTGGACCTGCTGGATGGCTGGCAATGTCGTTCAGCCTGGTGCTGAATATGTCCGCCCTACCCTTGACCACCCCATAGTCGCCAGTGGTCTCGGGATACTCGCGGCCATCTACACCGATGGGAGGGTCTAGCTTTGGGGGCTCCAGGCCATTGGAGGGCACTTTCCACTCGTAGTAGATGGGCGGGCCCTGCGTGGTGGCTATGTCGTGAGGCACAAAGTCCACGAATGGTGGCAGCAGATCATTGAACGGCAGCTGCAGCTTCTGCTGTGCTGGCGGCGCAGTGGTGGGCACGGATGTGGGCGTGGCCAAGCGGAAACTCTGTGCTGGGGCCGGCGTTCGGTTCTCCGTCCTGGGAGGAGCTGTGGCCGTGCTCGTCGTCGTGGGTGGCGAGGCAAAGGAGAAGGGCAAGCCGGCCAAGGTTGTGGGCCGGCTCTGAGGACGCGCCGTGCTGCTGGCCTCGCTGATGTGTATCCGGCTGACACTCGGACTGAATGGAGCTGCTGTGGAGGTGCGAAGGGTCACCGGTGCAGGTCCCGGTCCCGGTCCAATGGCAGCTGGTTGTCTCGTCTCGTCATCCTGGTTGTAAATGGGATATAGGAACGGCGGCTCGTAGATCTTCGATGGCGGCTTCACGAACTTCACCAGCTTCGTGCTGGTGTTCTTTGTGGCCCGTTGTGGTCCCTCCACCGAATTGAAGTCCGCCGAGGTATTGTACCGTGTGCTGTGACTGGTGCCCAGGTCCTCCATGTCCTGCTCCACTGCCAGGACTATCGGCCTGCGCGTGTGCAGTGCCTCTGTGCGTCTGGTCGACACGCTCACAGTGGCAGGTCTCCGAGTTGTTGTTGTCGTTGTCGTTTTCTTTGTTGTTGTCGTCCTGGTGGTAGCTCGACTGGTGACGGGACGAGTGGTGGTCGTGGTGATCCTTGGCTTCGCTGTGCTGCTTAGCAGCTCGATCTGTGGCTCGTAGGCCGGCGGCTGGATGGTTCGACTGGGCGGAGGAATGCGCCAACGAGTCTGCGTCGAAATTTGTGGATCATATTTTCCAGGTCCGGCATTGGCACCCTTGAAGGATTCGTCGCGGATTTGATTCTGGTTGGGAGTTAGTTGCTGGCAAGGCAGAATATTCGTAATAGTTAGATCTCCTTGTTCTTCAGGACTGACTGAACCTCACCTTGTACTGACTTCTAAAGGACTCGCCCGAGTAGTCAGGAGCATAGGGACGATCCAGGAGGTCGGGTCGCGGGGTTCGCAGACTATTCTCCTCATCGTTCACAAAGGGTTTGTCGCGCTGACCTGTGAAGAGTATTCAATGGGGATTATCCTGTTCCATTCGGAGAGAGAGAGAGAGAGATCGTGAGGGCACTTACCGATTAGCAGATTGGCGGCATAGTTGCTCTCCGCCTTGGAGCAGTTCACCATGTACCAGTGATCGCAGATGAGCATCCGCTGCTGGAAGAGCGTAGTGTTGGGGCACGTGTAGCTGAACTGGCGGCCCAGGCCATCGCACATGTGGTACACCTGGCAGCCCGTCTCCACGTCCGCGTAGTAGCCGGCCGGTCGTCCCGTGCACGAGAAGGAGGTCTTCTCCATGAGATGTGAGGCAGGATTTGTTGTCTGGAAGGCATTTTGGGCCTGCAGGGAAAAAGACATTGGGCCATTGGGTTAAAAAGATACACAGATAGATTATAGTTCCACCCAATCCGACCCTATCCATTTCTATATCTGATTTTGGCTGTCTCATTGCATCACAGTAAAAGGAACCCGCTGTGAAAACTCCACAAGGGTCTCCACTTAAGATAAGGGCTGGCTGGCACTATTGGCGCCTGGCTGCCTGGCGGGGCCCCACACTATTAGACTGGCCTGAGATCGATATCATCTGCGCGTACTCGTGCCCCGTCATGTGTGACTGCAGCTGAGTGTGATTGCCGGCTGCAGGCTACAGGCTGCAATATGTAAGGTGTATGTTGCATGCTGTACGTTGTACGTTGTATGTTGTATGCTGCATGTATATACATGTATGTAAGTTGTGCTTGTAGGTTGGGTAGGTTGCCATGGCCCGCCTGGGCCCAGAAGTGATGAATTGAAGTGATGTCATAACTTGGCACATGGTGCCACGGCTGCTTGCAACAGACGACCTGCTGCCGCTGTGTGAAATGTCAACTTTATTTTTAGGTTTTTTGTTTTTCTTTTACTTTTTTTGCTGCTGCACTTGCCGCTGATTTTGTGAATGTTTCTTTATGTTTTGTTTAATTATATAGAAAAAATTTCACGTCGGTAGATAGTCGCAAATTATAGCCCAATGACTTATCGAAATCTGCCACTGGATCTGTCCGCGAGTACGTGCGAAAATGTGAGAAGATCTCTTCCGCCAGGGGTCCCTTGTCTGTCCGTGAAAAGTGCACATACGTGTTAATACACATGCACGTAATATTTTCCCAGCATTCCATTCGATGCAATCTGCGAAATCTCTGACATCTTTGACACCTTAAGGGAAGGCTTATGCAAGTCTGGTCAAGATGGCGAAGAGTGAGCGGTAGCTTAGGGCTCTTAGCCAATTATAAATGATTGGAACCAATCACCAATCAAAGGCACATACATATATGTATATAATATTTATTATTTGCCGCTAAATTTGGATTCAATTAGACTCGTTTAATGCTACTCTTCCCCCTACATATAAGGGCATGTGATTGCATCCGACTAGAAGCTTGTAAAGTTGAATTGGTGCTGGCTTAAGCTTCACCTTATAAGGTCCGCATTTTCGACACGGACACGGACACGGTGGTAATCAAATTACTGGAACTGCGGAAAGGAAATCTGGATGGCAATCAAGCCAAATAAGATGGAAAAGCACTTAAGGGGGAAGAGCCATGATTCGCTTTCGTAGATTGTGCAATCCAAGGCCCAACTAAAGTTTTCAATTTCGCCAACTTTACTGTGTGGTGTGGTTTGTGTGTGTTTTGTCTCTTACTTATTTGGGTGGGTAATTTGCCATAATTTGAAACGGTCTTCAATTTCATTTGCGGGCATATTTATGGGCCACAGCAAAGACACACAGTCTGCGCCTAGTTACCCACTCGTCCGTTGCCAAAGAGCCCAGACACTTCTTCAGTTCGGCTTGGGTTCAGACATAGCCCATAGCCCCATCCCCCATCCCCCATCCCCATCGCCAGTTTGGTTTTAATTTCTTGTATGCAAATAGCGAAAACAATCAACACACTTTTCTCGCTGTGCTCTGCTGTTGTTTGGTTGTTCCATTTCTGCAAAAGTGTCAGAGTTTCGGCAGGGTGGGAGGGGGAGCGGGGGGGGGAAAAAAAAGGTCACTTGGTCATCCGAGTCTTTTGTTTTTAATATGGAAGTTGGAGGAGACGGAGACCTTTGCCAGAGTGCCCGTGCCCATGTGGATGTGGGTGAGTGTTTGTGTGAATTGTGGATGCACTCACGGAGACACACACGAGAATAAATTAAAAATGAAACAAAGCGTAAAGAGCGCAGAATTACAACACTTTCCGCCGTTGCTCAAAAAGTTTCTTGGGAAGCAATGCTAGACGATGGCTAAGACGAACAACATGGAGATGGGGATGGAGTCAGCTCAGGCCCAGGGGCAAACGCAAAATCTCGGCTTTAAATGCTGTTTGTTTAAGTTAAGTTTGCAGAAGAATATTTTGAAAAAGTTTAGCAGGGAAAGTTCTGTTGTGAGGAGTGATCCCTAAATCGGGACTGCCTGCCCACAACAGCTGTCCACTCAGAGAACTTTCGCTGACTCTTCCGTTGTCTTCTACAGAGGTGACCGCTAGAAATCTGTTCAGATCCCAACCCCATTTTAGTAACGCCCCTGAACCACCCTGCGCTACGCTGTGGTCACGTTTCTAATGATGACAACCCATTAAAGCAGGGTTTATCTTGGGGAGATCCATCCAGAGCTGGATTTATGGTTGTGGGGTGCGAGTGAAAATGATTTTATTCACTTTCAGCTACTATTACTCGGAGAATACAATACAATACAATACATTTTGTTGCCTCCTAAATGCTCACTTAGATGCTTAGTCCGAGCTTCATTAGCATCGGGCATAGCATCGGGCATAGCATACCGGGGTTTACAGTGTTTCAGCAATTAATTACTGCAATCTCTGGCGGGGCGCTAATAAGCACCTTTCCAGCCAACAAATATAGTATTTAAATATTTATACAATTCCGTAATTTGCATTTCAATGCTCTCTCACGTGCACAATCGGCACAGCCACTCGAATCGTATCGCCATCGCTATCTCTGGCATATCTTTCACATTCCCAGTCGATCGGGCATTAAGCTCCCCTGCCTGTGCCGCTGAGCCCCCCCGAGGCTAAGGGTAGATGTCAAAACTTACCTCACTGCCCAAAAATAGCGTAGCGCAGAACAAAGCCAGGGCCAAGAGTCGCGAATACTTTGGGATCGCTTGCGTGAACATTTTGATGATCGTTCTCCCCGGAGTTTCGGTTGGGTGAGGTGATATGTTTGCAGAGGCGGGCTGCTTACAACTGAAAAGGTATATTAATAAAGCAGTTATTGAATAGACATTGTGCCACTGATGGGAAAGTGCAGGAGGGCCCTCTAAGCAGCCGCTAATTGCCTTATACAATGCCTCGCATCATTCCACTTCATTCCCTTTCATCCATCCATCCATCCATCCTATAATAATGCCATAGATGACTCTCTTTTGTTGCCAATCTTTGCGTAACCGAAACTCTGTTTACTTTAGTCGTAACTTTCCCAAAAAATATCTCTCCTTCCAATTGAAATGCATTAATGCTGCTAAGTTGTTGTTTTGTTGTGCGGGGGAAACTAATTTTCTTCGTTTTCATATTATTTATTGTTGATTTGAGGTTTTGTAATGAATTGTAATTTGAAAAACATTAACTTTAGCTGGTTGTTATTTCTGTAGAATTTACAGAGCTGTGTCTGTGGCTGAGTGGAGTCTCCCATCTTCCATCTCCTCTGTCGCTGCCCTGCCCTGCCCTGCTCCGTGCCTCGACCTCCACCTACAATTCAATTTTACAACCTTGCCACTCCACACTGCACACCCATAGATGATACTCTCCAGCAGCAGCACACACAGCAATGAAACTGTCAGTGGCAGTGGCCAACAAAGCATCCGAATTGTAAATGCATTTTATGGCTATTTATTCTAGCCAAATAAGCCCAAATTGAGCTGTCCGTCGGATGCGCCGCTGTAAACTATGTACTACATCGTACCAGTATAGTATATCCAGATGGGGTCAAGCACGTCCGTTTGTGGTGGGTATTACGAAGATATGTCGCGTCTACAACTTGACAACTGTTTAATCGTGTTGAATACCCAATTTAGGTTACCCAACTAATCCAATAGATGCATCAAGCACATATATATATAAGTCTTTCTCTTCAATATATATCCCTGATGCTAAGCAGCTAGCAGTTTGCTTAACATCTGTATGACTGCATCAGTGAAAAATCTGTCAGATCTGGCTTAGAGATAATCTTGTAGCTGCTGGCAGATGACTGTCAGTTTGAGTGGTTGAACTTGAATTATGAGATCGTAAACATGCCAATTCGAATTGGAAAATCTTCAGAACGGCTTGGACAGGCGCCCAAGTAAAGAATTTGGAGCAGAAAAAGAAGCATCGAAGCATTAATACGACTACTGAATGGATTTGTTTTTAAAGATGCTCTTTCAAGGATGCAGCTCAACGACCATTATGCGTGTTCATCTGCCAAAAGTACCCCAGTTTAAATTAATATCCCAAGAGTGAAGCTCTGGCCAAAAGTTCAACCACTATCGCATGCGATCTCAGCCATGCCATATTATTTGCTAACGAGATCATCTATCTCAATGCTAACCACAACATTTGGGGCAAGTTGCGGCCAGGCCAGGCCAGGCCTCGGCAGCCGCCATTTCAGTCAAGTGCGTGTGGCAACAACAACAGCAGAGCAGCAGCAGCAGCAGACGCCGCAGGGGCAGCATTGGCAGGCAGAAGAAGGCAAACGGCCTCCTCAACACAGAGGAGAGCGCCCCTTAAACAATATTGAACTGGCATCTAGTTTTGGTGGATTTTCCCTGTCTTGACCTTTTTGACAACGACAGCGGGAAATATTTACTGCTTTATCCTCGTCGGCCTCTGGAGCTCGTGATGCAGGTTTCAGTTTTATTTTTTTTCTTTCTGTTTTTCTATTTTTTTTTTGTTTCTGGTTGCTGGGTTATTTTTGGTTGCCTTGTGGCCAGTAAGGCGAAGCCTATTTGACATTTTTGCCAGCAATTTCCACTGAAAGAGCATTGCGAATCTGACTCAAAGATGCTCAAGACTCCCAGCGAATAATAGCAGAAGAGAAACAACATCTACTACAACAATTATGCCAATTAGCTGGCATTACAGGTTGATTACAGCAGGGCCAGGCCAAAAAGCATTGACTCAGACATTGTTGGCATTTTTCTAATTGTTTTCCGAAGCATCTTCGGCGTCTGTCCCCCCTCAGAACCCCCATGGATTGCGGGATTGCGGGATCGTTGGATCGCAGAGGAAGTTATTAAGATGCATCAATGCTGATCCACAGCTTATGGCTCACCTTCGCCCGTGTCGCCGTTGCAGTTGCAGTCTCAGTCTCAGTCTTAAACTAAACAAACTAATTGCCGCTGTAGGTGGTAGGTGGCTAAAGTATATTCCATATGGTCACACATCCGATGCAATGCGATGCGAGGAACGAAACGATGTGATGTGATCTTTGCAAAGATCAAATGTCAGAGACAGCAGCCGAGTGCGAGTGCGAATGCGAGTGCTGGTGCTGGTGCATCAAGCTGCAGTTGCAGCGCTCGGCAGTTCCAGTGCTCCAAACAAAGTCAAGACCACTCACACACTGGAACCAAATCGGTTCGCATAAATTATATACAATATATATTCCGCTTCTGGCACTGGCACTGGCATGCCATCAACACACACAAATTCACACAGTCCTTCCCCAGACACAACTTCAAAATATCGCGCGTCTGCAGATGCTTTTCAGCATGGGATGTATCTATGGGATGGGATATTTGGCGGAACGACACAACCGAGTCGAACGAAGTCGCGCTTTCAACTGATACCTCCGAGTGCACCCAACTTGGCTTAAAATTCACATTAGGCCGCCCGCAACAGTCAGAGTCGGAGGCAGAGAGACAGGCAGAGACACAGGCAGAGACAGAGACAGAGCCAGAGTCTCAGTCGAAGGCAGCAAGAGACAACACGAAAGAAGCGCCAAGCAGAGCTTCGTCATCCGAGCACAGTGGGCGACGGTGGCTTGGCTATGGCTACGGCCGCCTACACGCAAGAGAGAAAATTCTGTTAATTTGCGAAGAAATATATTCAGAATGCTTTCGAATGTGGCCAAAAATGCTGCATTGGGTTCAGTTGTGCTAAAAATTTGGAGTTAATTTAGGGTTGGATTAGGTTATGAACAATTTAAAGATGTGCCAAGAGCCCAAAGGGGATTTTATGGGTAATTTTCAGTGGACTGAGCCCTTAAGTGGAAGTTTTGTCTTTCGGGGGGTGTGAACTGTAGGTCATTCGAATTGAGTTGAGTTGCAGGGAAAGTTGGTTCCGTTCCTTGATCTGATGAATGTCAAAGTCTTCTTTTTTGTGCGTAGATTTTGCGTAGATGTTCTTTGTGGGGATGCTAAAGAATGTTTGATTAGTAGAATCTCACTGGGGAGTAACTTTGGGCGCTTACCTATTCCAGAAATTAATTAAATCAACTATTCAAAAGATAACAAACATTAAACGTTGCCTTTCATGCCACTGTGCAGCATCTTCTCTGACAGCTAACGAAGTTAGATCGTCATCGGCTTGCTTGGGGCCGAGTGTTAAGCCTCCATCTCAGCCAGCAAAGCGTTAACATTGCAGCTTAATTTTCATTTTCATTCTCATTTTCAGTTTACAGTTAACAGCTTAGCGGTATTCAGTTTTCATTTTCAGTTTTCATTGCACGCTATTAGCATTTGCAATGCCACCGTTTAGGGAAACCCTTCACCCACTGATGGGTGTTTATTTGTCTAATTTATTGGAACGTTTGCCGCTGAGACTGAGACTGAGACTGAAACTTGGGCTGATACTTGAGGCTGATGCTGGGCTTCAGGCAGATGCAGAAGCAGAAGCAGGCTAAATAGAGCAATCGAGAGTGGCGGCAGTGACGAAGATCTAAGCCAGATTGGGCGGCAAGTTGCGAAAGCATTTTCCTCATCTAAGATTCGTTCATTCGCTGGCTCTTTTGGCGGCATCATTCAGTCAGATTTCTGGCGGTTGGTTCGTTGGTTGGTTGGTTAGGTTTCGGTTTTGGTTTTGGTTTTGTAAGCGAAGCGAAGATTTCCATTTTCCATTTTCAATTCATGCCGTTTATTTACTCTCGAGAGCCCTTTTGTCGTGAGTCAAAAAAGCGGGGCGGGGAAGCAGTTGTTGGGGTGTAGTTTTCTTTGGCTTGCTCGAGGTCCGTTACGTTCCGTTCCGTCCCGTCCCCTCTTGCCTTGCCGCCTGTCGTGTGTTGCCTCATTGAGTTTCTAGGTTTCATATTCGTATAGCAAGGCGTTTTTCTTTGCCATTTTCAGTTTTCAGTTTTCAGTTTTCGTGACGGACTCTGGAGGAAGTAGAGTCATTCGATGGTTCGTTTTTGTGTGGTGTGGTTTTTTTGGTTTTTTCTGTTTGCATTTGCTGTCAAAACGAAAGAAAGAAAATAACTGACACATACACACACAAAATTGGTTGTGCGTATGTGTAACATCGAATTTGGTTGGGTTTTCTTGTCTTGGGCTAGAACTGTGCGGAGGCGGAATGCATGGTCTCTACCTCGATATCCCCCGACTGCTTCGGCCCCAATCCCATGCACTCGTTCTGGAACTCGGTCAAAATGCGACTTGCTGGGATCTTTGTCTCCACGAGACCCCCCGCCACGTCGATGGTGTTATCATCACTATCGCAAAAGATGTCAATGACAATGCGAACACCTGTAAATATATTGCGGGTTAGGCAGGCAGGCTTCAGCCAGGAGCACAAGTGAGGAGTACGAACCATGTTGTGTGCGACGAATGGTAGTGCTGCTGGAATAGTTCTTCTCCAGAGCCCCATCGGCCATCGACCCTTGCTTGCCACTGTTGCATACGAGGCACTGACGCAACAAGGTGTGATCCTCTGTGGTGGTCACACAAAAGTTGCCCGTTGTAATGTCCCCATTGCTGTCGAAGTTCGTTGGAAAGATATAGAAGAAGGGGGGGGGGACTTGCATATAGAGACTGAGGGCTCACCCTTCCTTGGGGTTGATCTTCTCCTTGATCTGCTCCTCGCCTGACAGACTGCAGCCCACACTGTAGCAGCTCTTGCCATCCTCCAGAATGGGAGTTGGGGGCTTGCTCGTAGCGCGGTAGATCGACTTGGCTTGCTTCAGCTCCTGGTTCTTCTCTGTGGCAAAGTTGTAGAGTTTAATCATCTCCTGCACACGCAGCGGCTCCGCTTCGTCGGCGCTTGTATCTTCCGAAATGCGGCTAGGTTCCTGCTCCGGTTCCTGTCCAACGGGGTAACCCGATTGGGCAGTCTCCGCCTCCTCTCCAAAATTGTTCATTGCAAAATATATGTTGAATAAGATTATCGGGCGATGTTAAAAAATCAGAATTTTTTGACTACTCAACTTGTGTTCAGACTAAGCCGAATCTTATTCCTACAATATCAAATCGAAAATGACCTTTCCAGCAGAGCCCCCTTTTCATGATCATGATCTGTGTACAAATATTTTTCGTGTGTTTTTTGGTAGGGGGGGATCTCTGGTCACAATTCGTTGGCAATTACAATAACGAAATGTAAATGTAAATGTAATTCATCTTTGAGTTGCGCTGAAGACGAATCGATGGGGAGCTCGACCTTCAGTGCGGCGGCAGCCGAAAAAGCAAATTCGATCGATCGATCGCTCGCTCGTTCGTTCGATTTATCCGCAAGCGAGGGGGGGCAGCCGTGTGGCAGAGTGAGTGAGGGACGAAGGTTTGGTTATTAGTGAAATTTGAGCCACACACTGAATGCCAAGATGTGGAATTGTCTTAGAGCGGATTTACTCTACGATTTTTTTTTTCAATTTATCGGTGTACTACTATACTCGTACGTACGTGTGTGCGGGTTAATATATTTTGAAATTGGGTGAGCAATGACTTGCGATGCCACACAGCAGCAGCAGCAGCATCATCATCATCATCATCATCATAATCATAACCAGCATCATTAATCGGTAGCTGTGGTAGCAGCCAGCTGGAGACCCATTTGACACACCATCCATCCATCCATCCCAATGAAAAGCCGTTTTTAAGGTCAATTTAATGGCAAGCGACACTTGAAGATTGGTTCGGACCAAACTGAAGATTCGCAATCAGAGATGATGAGTCAGGCGGGTTGGTGAAGGGAAGTACATCGAGTACATAGAGATCTGATAAGAGAAGGCTGTGGAGACAGTTATGTCGGTCAGATGATTTCAGAAAGAGTTGTGCCATTCGGGAATGGAATATGAGGAAAGAGAGCCATACCATTACACAGAGTAGAAGATTTCCCATGATACAGCCGAAGGTCATTCCCACCCCTTTAAAACCCCTTGTACATGGGATCATACTTGGATGTTGTTACCGATAAGGAAACCCATTAGCATCACATTAAATGTATTATTAATTCTGGGTGTTCTTCTGCTCTTGGTGCCATGACATACCATGACTTTTAATTCTTGCATATCACGAACTTGGAATTCTGTTTCTATTTCTGTTGGAGATCTGCTCTGCTCTGCTCGTTTCTGCAATTAGCAGCGATGTCAAAGGGGTTCAATAGTCATGGCAAAAGAACACCAGCAAGAAGAAGGTGTGGGACCCACAAAATTCAATCCAATCCAAGCACATAGAGGCAAACATATGTACATACTATTGGTGTACAGTGTACACCGTACAGTATGTATGTACATAGGTGTGTCATCATCATCATCATCTGTGGCCTGGCTGTGATGTGATTCCATTGAAGGTCGCTCAGCCGCAAATAAGCAGCAACATTTGTAGCTGCCATTTATGCTCACTAGCACTACTAGCACTAGCACTAGCTCTAGCTCTAGCTCGCTCTCTTTCACTCTTTCCCCACGCTGCTTACTCTGTCTCTGTCTCTGTCGCTCTCCCACGCTACACATGTTTAATTTCCAAATTGGTGCAATTCCACATAATTCATGCTGATAGCTGAAATCGCCACGCCACTCGAGGGGCTCTCTTCTTCTGGCTGTTAATTTCAGCAAGGTCCCCCCACATCGGCTTTACGGCTTAGCAAATAAAAGCAAACCATTCGAAGATTCACACGTTTATTAAGGGGTTTCTGTACAGCACTGACTGCTTGGGGGGAAGTCGTGCTGTGCATGAAAAATGAAAGTGGAGCGGCTAAACACCCCACACACATAATTGATAACAGCAAGTACATAATGTGGAAATTATTGCGCATACGGCACACAGACATCAAAAGGTGCTAAGAGGAAAGGCAAGGCACTGGCACACACACGCCTTTGCTGGCAGACTCTGTCTCTGCTGTCGCTGCTGCCCCCTAAGCTGGGAGCTTCCCATTTACCATGATACTTCGAGCCGCATCCGGTCGCAGTTTTGACTTTGGTCCGCTTCTGTGGCCTGCTACAAATTTGTCAAACAAACAATGCTGCAAGGTCAGAGCAGTTGAGCGATGTTCACGTTCGCGTCCGGCATGCGGTCAGCACAGCGCAGCACAGCACAGCACAGCACAGCTCGGCAATAGTATCATTGACCTTAAGTGACGAACATGAAGAGCAATGAATAAGCCAAGATTATCACCTTTGGCAGCATTTATTGCACTTACTCGTACACACTGCCACCCCGCAAAAGCAAAGATTTGAAGTTCAATTGTGCAGGCATTGCCGAGATGCTCCAGCTTCACTTGTGATCCAACATCTCCAGATCCAACTGTACGGTGCGGTACGGCACGAGTGGGGTAGACCTACCAAGACGCCCATGGCACAATGTACAACACGACTATTAAAGGTCAAGCAACAGTAACAATGCAATGAAATAAATGAAACTTAAAACAATAAAAAAAAGAAAACCAAAAAACAAAACAAAGCAAAAAACGTTAAGTAAATCAATGTAAACAAACGGCGCACTTTGTTAATTGTTGTATTTATTTCTATTTCCATTTCCATTTGAGTTTCTGTTGGTGTTTCTCTTTTTCTGTTATAGCGGCAATCTATTAGAGAATGATCTCAAAGATGCGTCCAACGAAAGACTCAAGACACGAACTGACCCCGTCCCGTCCCGTCCGACAGACAATAACTCGGCCATAAGGCTGTTGTTAACCAGCAATATATTTGTACAGCCCCATAGCCAATACCCTATCGATGGATTGGCTATAAATGGTTCAATACACAGATCAGCTTTAGTTCAGTTCAGGCCTCAATCAACGGGTTGAAGACCAATTAGGGCATCAGCCATTCGCTACTCGTGCAAGCCATTCACTTGATGCCACATTTCCTTTCGGAGGGGGTTGTTCTGAAATGCCAAAATGGTAGCATATATTGTACGTCTATTGTTCCGCACATAACCTTCGCTTGGCAATGGAACAGGAGGAGTAGCCGCACTGGCCTGAGGTACCCCGGAGGGCATCCATTCCAAGCATCCAAGTGTAGTCAAGTGCGCTGCGCGGCAGTCAGTGCCTCTTCAACAATAAAGCCATCAATATCGACAATATACGAGCCAAAATTTGGTTCAATGCTTGAATTGTATCGCATGTATACGGGAATTTGTGTTAGTGATTAATTGGTTTGCTTTGGAGGCGCAAATCTGTTTGGTCTTGGGATAATCCGTGCGAGTACCACCATAGAATACATCATTTAATATTGAGCGTAAACAACGCAGCCCACATATGATTGCTTACTATTCAAGATGGGTCTTGGGCTTTGGTTTTTGTTTTTGTTGTGGATTTGGGTGCGCTCCCGCACCGATGGATGATTATTCTTTTGTACGTTGTAATGTTAGTCTTCAAATCTGCGCCCCAGCATCTGATGAATGCTTTTCCATTATCTATAAAGACGAGGAAAATATGATTGTAAGGTGTCAATCAAAAGGTGCTGTGCTGTGCTGTGTGTGTGCTATGCGCTATGTGTTATGTGGGGAGCCAGCGTTGTCGTTGTCAATTAAAGGCAGTAAAGTCTCCAATTAAGCTGGAAGATGGTAATGGCTTGCGGTTGAATTGCCATTGCTCCATGGAAATGCTGATTTACTTGATTGTTACACCTTGGGCCACGAATTGCTTACATATTGAGGGGGATGTTGCCTGGCCATAGCTAGTCAAGGACAAATTTAGTGAACAGGAATTACTATGGGAAATCCAGCCAAGCGAACCTTATAATCCTACTACATTTCCATAATATCTTCTTTTTGTACAAAAACTTATACTTATATCGGCCGATCAAAACTTAATGTAAGTCAAGAAGATTTTCCGGTTACAAGATAGGTTGGCCTTGTAGGAAAGAAGTCTATGCTTTAAAATCATTGCTATTGAAATTTTTAAGAAACAAATAATTTTATCCGATAAATGAATACATTTTGTATACGATTTTCTCATTTTTCAAATCGTTCTATTGTTGCATTCTTTTTAAAACATATTTAAGCATTATTCATTTTTTTTCTAGCAGGCGCAACATATGTTGCCGAGCAGATGTTGCGTAATAAAATAATGTTGCAAGTTTGGTGATGCTCATATTTGTTGCGAAGGAGATGTTGCTTAGAACTGGTGGGTGATGCCTAAAAGTAGGCAATACTCTTTCAGTGATGTCACCTTAAATACTTAAAGCCATAATTAAACTCAGACGCATTGATCAGCAATGCAATGGCAATTAATACAGCCATCTGCATTGGGCTCGATCATTCTATTGCCTCTTATTGTCTGTATATAATATAATATATGCTTGCGCAGCCAAATTCGACTATCTTAATCATAGCATTTAAAATTGAAAGTTGCCTAAAATTTTACATTAGACTTTGTCAACTGACTAGCTGGAGATATTAATAATGACCTTATGGCAAATTCCTGCATTCAGAGCGAGAGAACTATATACGAACAATAATGTTGCATTTTGTCTCTATTGTCGAAAAGAAGGTCTGAACTTTAGTTGTCGTGTTGCCCGAGTGATATTTGATATGGGTGCGATTGAAAATGTTTTCCGCTACAATTCTCGTTATGTGCGCAATACTGCTGAAATAGCAGATGCGATCCCATTCGTGGAGCCCGAACATTCCCACATAAATGAATACCAATTCATGGACGATTTCTCTGGGCTGGAAAAGTTTGGACCGCCCTGAATTCGCCCCGGCTGACTGCAGAGTGGAAATTTCTAGTGTTTGCGGCACATTCGGTTGACGGCAAAAAGTATAAGACGATCCACTTAAAATCTAATGCTTCGATGGGGCTTGAAATGATATATTCAGAAGCCAGGCGCGTAATATCCTGCTTTGGAAGAAAATCGGCTGCAATGCAGAATATTTAATAGGAATTAGAAAGGCGCTGAAATGTTGCGTACAGAATCATCCTTTTGTATGGGATATTACGAATTTTGTCAAAGCAATGGCAAAGTCTAGCACAGAATAAGCGACTGGGAAAGCGCTATAATGAATGCGAGGGAAAAATTGCCCACCGAAAGGA